TGTTGCCCAGGCTGGAGTGCAATGGCGCGATCTCGGCTCACCACAACCTCCGCCTCCCGGGTTCAGGCAATTCTCCTGCCTCAGCCTCCTGAGTAGCTGGGACTACAGGCACGCGCCACCATGCCCAGCTAATTTTTTGTAGTTTTAGTAGAGACGGGGTTTCACCATGTTGACCAGGATGGTCTTGATCTCTTGACCTCGTGATCCACCCGCCTCGGCCTCCCAAAGTGCTGGGATTACAGGCTTGAGCCACCGCGCCCGGCAAAATGCTTCAAATTTCATATCGAGAACTTTCAGAAGCTGTGATGAGTGATAAAATGGGCACATGAGTAGTTAATATTCCTATGACTATACTGCTGCTCTTGACAAGATATTACTTCATATCTCTTAAAAAGAGATATGAAGTAATGATATTTTTAATACTGCTTAAAAACAAATCAACAAATATTCAGTCCTGGGTATGAGTCTGGCTGTTTGCCAGGTGCTGGAGACACTGTGGTAAATGATGCACACATATTTCTATTCCGTATTCTCTGGGAACATAACTCTAATTTAAAAAAAAATAATAATGATTTATTGAGCACTATTATATGCTAATAACTTAATACATTTTCTTATTCTTCATGACTGTCTAATTAAATGGGTACTATTATTTTCCCTAATTTTCATCCATGACGAAACAGACCGAAAACATTTAAATAATTGAAATAAGGCACCCAACTAGAAATGATATGGATAGAATCCTTTCAATTTGTAAACTATACTCCCTTCTCATTCTGATGTGATCAAATTAAGTTAGAAATTTGGAGAATAGAATCTCCAAATTTTTACCCTTAAGGTCAAGCCTAGGCAATTGTGGTGGCAGAAATGGAAGACCCTAACTTATGGTGGATGTATTAAAATACATTACATCAATCAGTGAAGTCACCTTTCTAATGTGGCCGAACCAATTATGACAATTTTCTTGTCTTCCTTGTGTTGTTCTAATACTGCACGTTTCCATGCATAAAATGTGAATAAAAAGATGGATTTTGAACCGCACTTCTTATCTTACCAATCATAAGAGCAATGCACTAGATGGAACAAAACTGGAAGTGTTGACAAGACATTTAGCCTGCTCCTAACACGGTGGCATTAGCTCAGAAAACCACAGTGCCTTCATCTGAGTAATTGATGGCCATCCCAATCTATGCTCCACCAGTAGCCGCATGTCAAATCAGAATTGATTGTAGCTGAAAGATATTTTAGTCACCCTGTCTGATCCTTTAAATGCAGCAGAATCACTCTCTGTATTGCCACACTCCTATTAGAATTTCATGTCATTTAATCTGGAACTCTGAATAGCAGCTCTTTATAGGCATCCATAAAAGAGCCCTCTGCTCCTCTTGACTATTTCTTTAGAGCAAGATGCAACCACCCCTGCTAGGCTGTTTGTTGCCTCTCTCTGCACTATGCTCTCTTCTGAAGACTAGTAGTTCCCCAAAGGTAAAATCAGGACCTAAGCTCACACACCCAGAATTCCTATCTTCTAGGCCTTGCCAGGTGCCTCTTCCATCACTGCTTCCCTCTCAAGAGTTACCTCCACCCTCCCTGCATCAGAACTGTATGCGTCAGAATTACCTTAGACTTGTTAAAACCCAGACAGCTGGGGCCCACCTCTGACTTAGCAATTTAGGATAGGACCAGATAATTTGCATGTCCAACAAGTTCCCAAGTGATGCTTATAATGCTGCTGATTCCAGAATTACATTCTGAGAACCAGTAAGTTAGGCATGTCATAAGCAACAGCTTATTAATATTAAAGAACTCTTGTGTGGCTGTGGCTTACTTAGCTGAATAAAGTAGAATGAAATTGAAGTTACCCACGAAATCTACATTGCACACTCTCATTCAAGTGTACATTGTACTTAGTAAAGATGGGAGTTATCACAGAAGTGTACTTGCGGCTCATAGGCACACAGCTTTAAGCTATATTCGATATGACTGTGAACTTTTCTTACCTGCAGCCCATCCTGGCTTGCTAACCATTGGCATTTATAGGCTAGAACATGTGAGATCCCCGGATTCCTTGTCTGTAAGCATAAATTCAAGGGACTGGGGTTTTCCTATGAAGTAGAATCAAGCTGTCAATCATAGGGCATACTTCGAGAATGGCTGTAAAGGGTATCAAGCTTCCTTTCTCTTCTTTAGCAAATATGAAAACAAAACAAAAGCCAGGCTGTTCAGCATGTCACCCGGCAGCTGAAGGATGTAGGGGAATCAGAATCATAAGAATTTAAAAATCTCATATGGCACTGAGTTGTAGAGGATTTTCATGCAGCCCAAACTTTACCTTAAGCAAGTTATAATGTCTGAATTACAACAGCCTAAAGTCTGGTTTATGGTTTGTATTTATATGTATTTGTGTATGCAATACAATATAATGATTCTTCAAGTTTATAAGGTCATCAAGAAGCTGTAAATTGAGAGTGGTGTTCATATGTACAAACAAATAAGTATTTCATAGGTAAGTCCAAAGTAATTCAGCATTATGTCCTAAGTTAAATTTGAAGAGACACATTTGGAGGATAATTCAGTCTGATCAGCCATCTGTTTACCAGGATTTATTGGTCTGCTGCCTGATAAGATTTTATATTTTCCAAGGTCAGCTTTCTATTTAAGTTGCTGCATATTATCACATTACTGTGTACTTCAACAAAGTATCAATTTTTTGTCCGCATGTTATCTCACATTTCAGGCTTTCCTTGTGATTTTCAAAGTGTGTAACGAAAGTTTATAGTCAATTTGATGAATTCAGGTTTATAAATTAAACATCTCTTCTTCAGTTTAACTCTTTGGAGTGTCTCCCTCAGCTGATTTTGAGCCACTAGGAAAATTCAGACATATGTTGTATGAAAAAGAAAATTAAAGCTTTTTTGTCTTTAGTTTTCTTTTTTTGACACGGAGTCTCACTCTATCGTCCAGGCTGGAGTACAGTGGCATGATCTCGGCTCACTGCAACCTCTGCTGCCTGGTTCAAGCAATTCTCCTGCCTCAGCCTTCTGAGTAGCTGGGATTACAGGAGCCTGCCACCGTGCCTGACTAATTTTTTGTATTTTTAGTAGAGATGAGGTTTCACCATCTTGGCCAGGCTGGTCTTGAACTTCTGACTTCATAAACCACCCACCTCAGCCCAAAGTGCCAGGATTACAAGCATGAGCCACTTCACCCAGCCTTGTTTTTACTTTTCTATAAAAAGAGATGACATTAGACTGGGCGCAGTGGCTCACGCCTATAATCCCAGAACTTTGGGAGGCCGAGGCAGATGGATCACGAGGTCAAGAGATCGAGACCATGCTGTTCAACAAGGTGAAACCCCGTCTCCACTAAAAATACAAACATTAGCTGGGCATGGTGGCTTGCGCCTGTAGTCCCGGCTACTTGGGAGGCTGAGGCAGGAGAATTGCTTGAACCCAGGAAGTGGAGGTTGCGGTGAGCCAATATCACGCCATTGCACTCCAGCCTGGGTAATAAGAGAAAAAAAAAAAAAAAAAAGATGACATCTCTACTACTATTGTTGCCTTATCTCTTCTAAGAAAATCATGCCTACATTTGGCTTATGATAATTTAATCTGTGTATAAAAGCAGTAGGGTGCAAACTCATTAACGCATGTTTAAGTAATTGAAATAAAATTTAATTAACGTGTCTCATTTTTCACTGCTTTGCATAATTAATGAAAGCAGAAGGCATTCTTAGGCTCAGAAATAGTTATGAGAGAGAAAGAAAATGGAGAAGTAAGATGAAAAAGACAGCAAGAAGGTAATTTAGGATTAAACTTTGCAGCATATTTGTAAACTACATATTTACCTGAGTAAAGTTCACAATGTTTTCTTTCTTAGACTATCAACAAAGTGCTGCTCCAGTATGCTGCAATTGTATCAAGTGATTTCCGTTCATATTGTGATAAAGAAAATGTGGTAAGTAAAATTCTCTACTTTCAAATATCTCTCAGTTGAGATTTACTTCTCCGAAGTTTGAGTAAGTAAGAGAAATTGTTTACTTTCAGTTTTCACATAGGATAATAAGAAACAAGGAGCTTAAGAAGTTGAAAACTTCTCCAAAGTTCTTGAACTGGTTTTAATACAGGATTCACAGGAAGGTTGAGAGTGTCTCGATGCCAGCCAACATGTGGTTTTCCACGTTGATAAGGAACAAGACTAGCATAAATTATTGAAGATTCACATACTCATAAAATACTGGAGCTGAGAGAAACAAGGTGCTTAAAAATTAGATGAGTATTGGCACCAGCTAGTTTCCTTTTGGCACTAATACTAAAATAAGTGTAATTTAGTCTTTCGGTTTTCAAATAATTTGAGAAGGTTAAGGTATGGAACAATGCTGATTTCTATTCTGAATTATTAAAATAAGCTTTTTTAGATGATTCAGGTAATATTTATAAAATTCAAACTAGTATTGCAACTTAATAAAAGGCATAAAGAGAAATAAGATAAAGGTATTTGAAATATAGTGAGATTTATTTTATAATGGGTGGTGAAAGCTTTTTTATTCAATCTGTAGTATTAGGATTAATATGTTGGCAGCATTATAAACATTTTGAAAAACAGTAGGTCTCAAAAAAAAGCATTTAAAAGTGAGTATAGGATTTTTTTTTAAAGAAAAGGAAAACCAGGTATTCCCCCTTCAAAAAATCAGTTTCACAATCAGGTGAATCTAAATTATTTTAAAGAAAGCTACTAGTCTTCTCGCTGAAACCTCACTGACCTCTTGCTGGCAGCTCATTAAGATAAGTCAGTGCTAATGGTTCTTGAGAATTCTAGAAGATGTTTCTTTTCCTTAAATTAATATGCTGCCAAGAAATTTTATTAGAACTTCTTGACAACTCAGATAATGATTTCTAATTGCCATTGATTATAAATACTCAAAAAGCAACGTAGAGTGTCTATTTATTGAAAGCATATTATTTCTAATTAAAGGATAATACATGTCTTAAGTGTTATTTTAAAAATCAAAACAGTACCTGGTAATTTCACAAAAGACCCTGTTTATATTAGGACAGCCAAATTGAAGATTTTGGAAGGTGGCTATGAACTCCTAAGGCTAATTCCTGACATTCAGAAAGGAAAATTAGTTTTTAAAAGTCCCTGCAGAGTTCTACTTTGTGTAGTAACATTTTATATTTTACATTTAATGAACACTGAGATAAAAATCATAACCCAGTATTTATTATATTATTCTATGTACTCTTTCTGTAGGTTGTATACTCTTAAAAATTAAATCTTTATAAAAAGAAACAAAAGCCCTCCAAATATCATAGCACAGGAGCTTCCTTTTCCTTCCCTCAGTGCTTTTCTTCCATAATTACTGATATTTTGACCAACTTTATATACACTATTGCTTAAATGTCAAGTATCATTTTAGCTTTTATAAAAGAATATCACTTGGTTTCTTGGCTTATGTTTTCATTCAAGGCAAATTCAAGTGCTTTTGTACATTTCCATAAGTATATATAGTTGTTATTACAGATACTTATTTATAATTATTTCAATACGAGATTTCAATATCAAGACCATTGAAAGTTGTACATCTTTCATTGTATCTATGGTAACATATCTATATTATCTGCAAATTGAGTTAGAAATATCTAAAGATAGACATCATTTAAGATATGACCATAACATAGGCCGGCCCGGTGGCTCGTGCCTGTAATTCTAGCACTTTGGGAAGCTGAGGTGGGTGGATAACCTGAGGTCAGGAATTCAAGACCAGCCTGGCCAACATGGTGAAAACCCCCTGTCTACTAAAAATACAAAATTAGGTGGGCATGGTGGCATGCACCTGTAATCCCAGCTACTTGGGGGCTAAGGCAGGAGAATTTCTTGAACCCGGGAGGCAGAGGTTGCAGTGAGCCAAGACTTCGCCATTGCACTCCAGCCTGGGCAAAAAACAGCAAAACTCCATCTCAAAATAAAAACAAAAAAGATATGACCATAACATTACAGTTCTCTGGGTTCAGAATTAAAGACCAGAGTTAAATAAAATATGTCAGAATAACTTTTTTTTCCTCTGTGACATTTTAAATTAGGAATCGGTCAAAACATTTTTATTTATTTTATTTCACATTCCCATGTATAGCAAGACATCGCAATCTAAATTAGAATTGCTTTTATTTTGAATAATTTAAAAAATATATTTTTAAACTCAGAAACACTTTGGCCATATAGAAATGTCCCTAGTCTGAACAAAACTAACTTTTATATTCATCATGTTTCAGTTTCCTTTGTTCCAGATTGAGATAAAATTAAAGGTATTATTCTATTTTTAGGGAAAAAGTAAACATACAAAAATAAGAAGTTCCAAATTGACTTTAACATAGGTTGTTTTATCTTACTGAACTCCTCAAAAAGCAATATCCCTGAATTAGGGTAATGTTTTCTTTGCTGTCAGTTTCTTTATTTCATTTACTATGAAGTTGTTGAAAGTAAAAACTTTCATGATTAAATTTAAGGTGTATTTGTGTAATCTGTTCCCAGTAGGAGTTTGATGAATTGATTCAGTAAAATTGAACTTTGAACATTTCAAGGTCAGGGAAAGCTTAATGAAAGGGGAGAGTCTCATATTTATTTTTGTCTCCCTCTAGATAACCACATCTCTTTTTTTTTTCTCTGTAGTCTTCCTTAGGATCAAAGCAATCCATGTCAAGTTAGCCCAACTGTCTATGTTTATTTTATTCTCAGTAGCTCTTTTTCATCAGAAATCATCATGGTAAGAGGAGTTGGCAGCTGGCCTTTATTTATAAAGCTGGCCCCGTTATATGTGCCAATAAAGATTAGCTTGAATGTTAATATCGAATAATCTAAGAAGAGTCTATCAAGTGAACTTAGACCCATGGGAAATAAGGTGATGAAAACCCCTCACCCGTGTAGTCTTTCTGCTTCTCATTATAAGTCATGGTTTTACTTTGACCTTGGATTTCTCCCTAGTAGGACTGCCCAGATTCACACCAAATCTTCCCCTTCTGCAATTAAAAATAAATGCCCATGACCCTATCTCCTAGTGAAAAGATAGTCTATTGGCTTAGTTTACAGACTTTTGGTCAAGGTGCTGAATCCTCTGAAAATTTGGCAATACCCACTATGGAAAGGACCAAGCCCAGATCAAGTAGTACTCAGTGATGGCTATAGATCAGATTCACTTGTGGAACATTTTGATTCAGCTAATTAAAATGGAATCTTTGGAGGATAAATCTCAGATATCTGTGTTTCAAAATAAAGTATTTAAGTGACTAGAATCTAGGGAATAAAAAGGGATTTTTTAATTGTTTGCATAAATCAAAATGATGATGTGGTCACTTTAAAAGACAAGTAGAAAGTTTTTCAAAGATCAGTAATGTGGCTAAAGTAATAATAAAATCTTTCCACTGGTAAGAGCGAACACCTCCCTGACATCCCTTGAGTCCTTTGCATGACTCTGGTTATTGGCTTATTTCCCAGCAGCTTGGAAGATACATCCATTTTCCGTTTTTTGTCTGTTTCTCTTTCTTTGTCTGTTTTCCTCTGATATACTGGCTCTCAGGAATCAAATACAGCAAAGATGAAATGATTCTATAACTATTATGAATTGTTTTCTAATTATGAATTAATTTTTACTATCCTAAGTTCACATCCAGACCTGTCACAAAGCTTTACATTTTTGTTGTTGTTATATTTCTGGCTCCTTGAACAACTGGAGAAACATTTTCTAAGCATGTATCGTATGTACACCACTGTGCAGTAGTTTGTGAGTAAGAAAAGCAGAAAGAGACACATCAGCATGTACAATATATTTAAGGTTGGCTGGTGACAGTGAAAAGCACTCAAATGCAAAGCAGTATAAAACCAATGCCAAGTGAGTGATAAGATAAAATCCAGGAAAAAAGGAACACTCTAAGTTGAATGCTGGTTATGAGTCAAATAAGCAAAGAGGAAAATGAGAAGAGTAACATGGATTAAAGCCAGAAGCAAAAGGCTTTGAATACCAGCGTGTGGTCTTCATCTGCAGCATGAACATCTATTTAACTTCATTTTTTAGATGTTTTTACATTTAAAAATTTACATGGTGTTTTGTTTTCTAAAACAGTAAAATAACAGAAGAATTTAAGCTAGCCTATTTCTAAAAGTAAATCTGTGAAAACAAAAAATGTGCTTACTTTTAAAGTATGAAATATTGCAATGTTAAAGATAAAAGAAACTTTAGCAGTAAATCTCCAATGGTTTATTTTCTGACTATGTTATTAAATTTCATTCCCCAATGTGGCATTATATTTTACCATTTCTATTCTTAACTGTTACAAACTATAATGCTGAAATCGCAAAATTATTATATATATCAAATATAATAGGAATCAAAGATAGCTGTGTTCAACCATTTATAAGTTAAACTCATTCAATAATTTTATATAAAAAGATTTCTCATGATAGTCTTTCTTTTTCTATATTTAAAGCCCTGTATCTTGATGAACAATATTCAACAATTGCGGGTCCAGCTGGAGAAAATGTTTGAATCCATGGGAGGGAAAGAGGTGGGTATCTTTTTCTCCTACATTTGCTGAAAACCTACTCAGAGATTATAAGCAGCATATCTCTTGCTATGAAAGTGCCTTAATCAAGTTTTTACATGGTTTAGCTAAGAACAGGGAATGATAATCCAAAATATCTTTAACAACTAAAATGATTATTATCCACAACAGAATACTTTAGTAAATACATTTAAAGTGTAAATGGGAGGCATTTGGTCTTATGTGTGTGCATGTGTGTGTTTGTGTGTGTATTCATATATACATACATATATATTTGTATGCTAATGATTTGTAAAGTTCCACAGATTGTGTTTTTTACCATCTTGTACAATGTCAGTTTGATATCAACGTTTATTCTGAAATATGCTTTATGGCGCTATTGGTTTGTTTATTTTTCACATCAAGAAAGCTCTGTCAAAAATGTGTTGTGTGCTGTGTCTGTAATGTGTCATGTCTTTGTCCAACGTCTATGACTTGCAATTCCATGAGCAGAAGAAGGAAGGAGAAAGATTCTTTTATGAGGTTTGTGATAGTAAGCGTCTTATCCGTTACCTGGCTGTTTCCTCCAACCCTCACTCCATACCTGAAGACCATTGCATTTTCTACTTATTCCCATTTGCTTGTTTGGAACAGACAGACAGTGAAATACTAGCTATGCACCTGCATCTTCCTGCCTACCACAGTCTTTTTTTTTTTTTTTTTTTATAAACTGACCTAAGCATCCCAGAGTTGAGGACTACTAGAGAAGATGCAAAGAGGGAGGGTCATGAAGCAGGGATTCTTAATTTTTAACAATTTTTATTCTTAAGGTACCTATCTATATACAAGGATATCAAAGATTAAAGTATATTTTTAACACATATATTCATGTGTTATAACATGTTAGGTTTTCTAAATTATGAAATTATCATGTTCTAGAGGATATTTTTGTCACGCCTTGCATCTCATTGCTAAAATCAACAAAGGCTTTGCTATGTAGCTCCTATTTGTATGCATGCCTTGAGTTTCAATTTTTTGTATGTGAGAACTTCTCAGTTTCTTTAACGTTTCCTAAACATTTAGATTTTATTTCAAAAACTAAAAAAAAAAAAAAAAAGGGAGAGAAAAAAGCTTATGTGTTGTTTGAGGTTACCACATAACAATCAAAATGCTTGTAAGAGAAACAGAGGTATGATTTCTCAAAACTCCAAAGTAACATTGTTTATCATCTCTCTGCAGCTAGATTCTGAAGCTAGTACTATTCTGAAAGAACTTCAAGTTAAGCTCAGTGGGGTCCTGGATGAGCTTAGCGTCACTTATGGTGAAAGGTAAGTGGCTCAGTTGTCATTATCTAAATTGATAATTAGGTATCAGCTCATAATATTCTTCTCTTCAATGCTGTTTCCTCTGACTGCCTAAATCTATTTAACTTCAAAACCCAGCCTAAATGTCATTTTCTCTGAAAAGTCTTTTATGACCACACAATCTAATACTGCTGTCTTGCTATGCCCTCCCTAGGACTCTGTGCATCCGTCAGTCGGATAACACCTATAACGCTATCCTCTAAGTTTTGTATTACCTGTCCCTTTTCCACACTCAGGACCGAAACCATATCTCATACATATATGCAATTCTAGCATTTAGAGCTTGGTAAGTGGCTACCGAAAGGCTAGAGAAAGGGAAGGAACAAAAGAGAAAAACTTCACATATATAAGAGGCTTGAGTTGTATTCATACCATACATATCAGTGTGTTCGCACTGAGTGTAACTGGATCAACAACCATATGCCAATTTGTCAAGATTCTTGGTTTTAGGGGTTAGTCATCTGAATACAACTACCCCGTGGAAAGGAGTTTGGAAACTATTGATATATCTATATTTTTAAAAAATTTTTTTAAACTGGCTTTATCTGTGAGATCATTCTAAAGAAAGAGAAGTGCACCCTGGTTAAATTTCACTTCAGTCCTGTAGGAGAAACTATCATCTCATCAAAGCGTTAAAATAGGAAAGAAAATACATTTTTGAAGAGGTTTATTGATTTAATATAGAATTTGCTTTCAATGTTGCTTTAAATGTTCAATATAGAATTTCCTTTAAATATTTAAATATTGGTTCAATAACTGATATATTATTTTAAACTGTGTGTTCAATTCTCAGACGATAAAGATTGCTGCTAGGGTAGGGACTACCTCTGGCCACCAATATGGTAGGTAATAGGCTATTGTTGTGTTTTAGAAAATCCACTATTAATAAACATTTATTAATTGGTTATGCCATTTTTAAAATAAGAAAGACAAAAGACTCTGAAAGCATCATTTTTTCTTCTTGGATATAGGAATAAAGCAGAGCAAAGAAAACTCTCTCACTTAGCCAACTCTTCATTATCAGTGGTATGTTCGTAACTTCCTTAAGCAAGGTGGCGTTGTCTTCATTGGAACTCACCTTCAGGGCTCAGCAGCTAAGCCAGAGAAGTCTCCCTGTGTTGAGCCAAGGGTGGTCACTCCGCCTCAGCGGAGTTGTTAGCTGACTCGGATGATCCTGCCTACTTCATCTGGATGTTAGCAATTTCAGGGTTCTGTTTACCTGAAGTTGGAGAGGCAGAGACTATTCCAGAGACATGGGGTTCATTGGCTCTGACTTGGGGTGACACTGAGAGATGAAGAGGCCTTTGCCCAGCCATTTCAGGCATGCCTCTCTTCGTTCTAATTGCAAATTAACATGTGGTTAGTAGAAAGATTGTTGCCTTCAGCCATGGAGGCAATATTAGAGATTATTTAGCGAAGCTGGAGGGAGAGGAAAAGAGGTCAGGAATAGCTAGAGTTGTTCAGAACTTTATGGAAAATAAGATGACTAAACAGAATATAAACTAGAATATAAATAGAAAAAGTTTATTTAAATGACTTTCTGTAAAATAAATCATTCTGATGGGTAAGTGCTTTTTGATTTGTTTTGTTTGGGGGAGATGGAATATTCACGTTATAAAGGCTAGAATATGAATTCTGATTTGAATGTTACCTGGATAAACTACAGTTATGAAAGAAGGATTCGGGTCCTTAGGAGGACACTTGAAGAGCTTTATTTGTGTGAAGTCAGCTATTTTACTCTAAGTATTAAAACCTGTGGCTACCCAGAATCTATTTATTCTTAATTTTTTAAATATAGGAAAGAATTTAGTACTTTGTTCAATTAGGGTTTATTAGGACCATTGGAATAAATGAGCCACATGCCACGCTTTCCTCATAAAAAGTATAATTATTTTATCCTTGTTGCTGTGGTTTTATTCCTCACACTACCAATCAGGTCTATATTATACTCTCAAGGTGGGTTAAAAGTCTACAGTAATCAATGTGATCATGCTGTGAAGTCAAACTGTATAATTTTAGTCTGAACCTCCTCTTCTTGAGGTCTAAGCTGGCAGTGTAGAGCTATAGAATTAAATGCATAATTAATAGTCAAAATCCACTTGATTTTATGTTGTTAAAACTCATAATTAAATAATTTTACTCTATGCAGCTGTTAGGATGTCTCTGCTGTAAAAAGTCAGAGCTGAGCCAAACCACACATTGATGGATGCCTGACATGCTCACAGGGCACCTACCTGGGAACTGAGACTAAGTGATAAAACCTCAATAATAACTTAAAGATGGCCTTAAAATTTTCAAAGGGTGTGCCACTAGCATTTCTGCTTACACATGTTTTGCAGTTTGGTTTTTCAGTTTGCTCCTTTTTTTTTTTTTCTTAACTGATACCTTTAGTACCAGAGGCTGGCTAGATTAAGTAAACAAAAAAAAAAATTCAGGAATATTTCATAGGCATTACTCTGTGAGTGTGTGGCTCCTTGGATGCTCACAAAATCTGTCATTATTTACCGGCATCGCTTTTTTCAAGGCAGTTAATATAAACTCTTTTTCTTTTTAACCAAAAAAAATAAAAAAAAAAAAAAAAAAGACTTTTTAGGTGAATTTACCAAAAATTGATAGGGCCAAAACGTGAAGTTCAAGTGTTGGTTTAGCCTGGATTAATGCGGAAGTAGAATGCTATTGTCCGTTGTACATTGAGAACCTTTCCTCTATGTGCCTGATACCATTCCCAGAGCTGGCTTCTCATTAGACTTTAGAATACAGTTCTGTTTAGAAAACTACTTTTCAAATAATAAGAACATAAATATCACAACTTTTGTCCAATCTATCCCCCTGCCCCAATGCGCTGATCTAAAAATCAGTGCAAAAGAAAGTAGCCATTTCAAAGATGATTTTTTACTACAGGCTGTGGGATCATTTATGACCCAGTGGTAAATCAACTAGTTCAAATTATTTTCAACATGATTTGTCTTCCTTTTCTATTTTCCCAAGTATCTACTACCTTTACTTTGCTTCAATAACCGCAAACAACATCCCTTTCCCCATTTTCCCCACCATCTCTTGCAACTTCTACCTGACAGAACCTCAAAGGCAGCTCCAGTCAGATAAAGGTTAAATAAATAATCAAGGATTTAGACTCTCTTGGATGACAGCTTGGAAGAGAATGTTCCTTTAAAGCAGATAAATATGCAGAGAGCCAAGAAATGAGCCCAATTCAAAGGGGCCAGCTAAGATGCAAGCATCCAGAAACCAAATGTAAATGCCAAGTCCAGAGGGGCAAGAATGGTGTAGTCAACAGTACAGAAAACAAAGAATTTAGGAGCCAAAAATGGAGAAAGATCAAACATGATGGTAGAAGTGGAATCAGGCCTTGAATATGTACACAAAATTTGGGACCAGTGTATGTCTAAGCCTGCTGTTAAAAGCTCAGAAGCCAGAAAAACATCCAAGTTAGGATAATTTAACATTTATTAAAATTTTTCCATATTAGGTGTGGAAATATCTATATGGAAAACAAAATATGAAAAACCAAAAGCTAGAAAGATGAAATACTTAAAAAGAAGTCAACTAAAATATTTCTGTAATGTAAATGCTAAAACTTTTCATATGTGCTGTAAGAACAAAACGCTGTACCTGTTCTGTTCATTGATACATCTCAGTACCTGGAAGAGTGATTGGCACATAATAGTTTAGTAAATATGTGTAGAATGCATGCATGAATAAATCAACATGTGTATTTTATTTAATAAAAGCATTATATAGTGAAAATCCCTAAACTTCTATGTAAAATCTGAGGAATTTATGCATTTGGATACTTCTCAAATAACTAACTATAATTACTGTGTGCGGAGGAGGAAAGGAATGGTATTGACTTCTCTGCAATACTGAAATGAATTCCCTTCGTCTCATTACCATTCCAGTGATTTGACCATTTTCCAAGCTTTCATTGATCTTCATTCTCCTTAGTAGTTTTTTGTTGCCTGCCCACATGTGTTAAAAATACAATAGTCCTGTTGTTGGAAACATGAAAGTAGCAGACAATATATAGGAACGGTGGTGATGCTAAGAGTCTCCAAGATTTAAATATCTTAATACTTGCCACTGCTTACTTAGGTAAGAACCATCAAAACTGGTGTAGGGAATATACAGAATGAAAAAGCAATACAATGTGTTACTCTTCAGGACATTTAAATCCTTAGAGTGGGTAAGGCAATAGAGGTAGGTGGAAGGAGATGGTCCTTTGATGCATTCAACCCATGTTTCTTTTTTAATAGCTTTATGGAGATGTCATTAGCATACAAAAACTATGTGTATTTAAGGTATACAACTTGGTGTTTTGATATACATATCCATTATAAAATGATCGCCACATTCCAGATAATTACTGTATCTGTCACCTCCATGGAGTTGCCATATGTGTGTTTGTGGGTGTGCATGTGTGTGCTGAGAACATTAAAATCTGTCCTCTTAGCAAATCTCAAGTATATAATACAGCAGTTTTAACTACTGTCCCAATATTTCTTGCACAACATCTTTGTGTCAGGCATGGCATCTCGTACCATGGCATGGGCATCCAGCACTGAACAAAACAAAATTCCTGCTCTCATGGGGCTTACCTTCTAGGGGGTGGGGGAGAACAGGCAATAAGCAAATAAAGTAAAATTATGCAGTGGTTCATTAAATGAAGAATTTAAGAATGCAATTGAGAATAAAAGAACAATAAGAGAACAGAGATTGATAGGAATGCCATTTCAGCTTGAGTGACAAGGAAGGTTTCTCTGAAGTGATATTTGGTATATACCTGAAATAAATGAGGGACCAAGAGAGCTGTCAGAATTTCCTTCCATGGCAGAGGGAACATAACAGTGGCCATGAAATAAGAGTGTCCTTGGAGAATTCTAAGAACACCAGGAAGGCTATTGTGGTTGGACTGCAATGAAACAGGAGAGTGGTAAGAAATGAGACCAGTGAGATTGCCAGCACGAGATTATGCTTGGCTTTCGGTCTGTCAAATACATCTAGATTTTTTTCTAAGTGGAGTTGGAAGCTTTTAAAGATTTTTAGCAAGGGAAAAACACGGTCTGGTTTTTATTTTAAAAGGCTGTCTGTAGGGGCTTGAATAGACACAATTTAGGAAATTATTGCACAGTTTCAAGTGAGAGGATGGTGAAGGAATCTACCATGGCATTTTTGGAAGTAATAGTAAATCCTCAGATTTAGGATACGTTCTGCTGATAGGTTGCATGTTGAGTATGAGAAACTCATCAGACTTTTAAGTAGAAAGATTGCATGGTCAGTTAAATAACATCATCTGGAGTTTGGGTTAGAAGTCAGGTCTGCAGATGTGAATTTGGGAACCATCACTATATAGATGTGTTGAAAGCCATGGGACTAGATGTAATTGCCAAGAAAGTGATTGTTGATGGAGAAGTGAAGTGGTTTAAGGATCAAGTCCAGAGAATCACAGTGTAGGATTTCCAGATAAAATGCACAATAATACCCTCAGTTAAACTTGAATTTTAGACCAATAAGGAATAATTTTCAGTATAATTTTTTTCCAAATATTACACGGCCATGTTTGTGCTAAAACTATTCACCATCTAAAATTCAAATTTAACTAGGTATCCAGTGCTTTCATTTGATAAATATGGCAACATTCCTCCAAAGGTTAGTGGTCAGACAGTTGAAAAGGAGCAGCCAGTGAGGTTAGAGGAAAGTCAAGGTGTGGAGTCACAAAACGCTAATGAAGAAGGCGTATCCAGATGTCAAGAGTGGTTCTTTTCTTTTCTTTCTTTCTTTCTTTTTAAACAATGAGCCCTATTGAAATACAATTCACATAACATAAAATTCTCCCATTTAAAATATAAAGGTTAGTGGTTTCTAGCATATTCACAGAATTGCACAACTCTCACCAAATTCTAACTTCAGAACACTAATATCACCACAAAAAAAGAAACTCCATACCCATTAGCAGTAAATCCCGTTCCACTCTCCTTTCCATCTCTAGGAAACCAGTAATCTCCTTTCTGTGTCTATGAATTTGCCTATTCTGGATATTTTATATAAATTGAGTCATACAATATGTGGTCTTTTGTGACTGATGTCTTCACTCAGCACAATGCTTTTAAGCATATGGTTGATTTGTATGGTGACAGTGTCAGTACTTCATTTTTTTTTTAACTTTCATTTTATGTCCAGGGTATATGTGCAGTTTTGTTACATGGGTAAACTTATGTCATGGGGTTTTGTTATACAGATGATAATACATCATCCAGGTATTAAGCCTACTACCCACTAGTTATTTTTCTGATCATCTCCCTCTTCCCACCGTCGACCCTCTGATAGTCCCCACTGTGTGTTGTTCCCCTCTATGTGTCCATGTGTTCTCATCATTTAGCTCCATTGTGGAAGACAGTGTGGCAACTTCTCAAAGACCTAAAGATAGAAATATCATTTGACCCAGCAATCCCATTACTGGGTATTTACCCAAAGAAATATAAATTATTTTACCATAAAGACACGTATATGCTCATTGGAACACCGTTCACAATAACAAAGATACGGAATCAACCTAAATACCCATCAGCGATAGACTGGATAAAGAAAATGTGGTACATACACACTATGAAATACTGTGCACCCATAAAAGAGAACAACGTCATGTCCTTTGCAGGGACATGGCTGGCGTTGGAGGCCATTATGGTTAGCAAACTAACACATGAACAGAAAGTCAAACACTGCAAGAGTCTTTCTAGAGCAGCCATTTTCCCAAAACATGCTAAGAGGAGCACCTCAGCTGTGACTGTCAGAGGTGAGAATGGAATGAAGCTCTACTCAGATTAATTCAACCTAAAGAATAGAACTTTTATCTGCTTTACTTATTACAAGTAAGTAATTACAAGTAAGCTTCCATTGCAACAAAAAAATTTTATAGTTAAACAATGAATTTGAAAACTCATGAGCAGGGGAATTCACACCGGTTGAAACAAATCAAAATCCTCAGGTTGAAATTGAAACAGGTTCAGGCAGGATACATTTTTATATTCTAGAATTTATATTCTTTATTTTTAGTTTCCAGGTTATAATTGAAGAGTGTATAAAACAGATGAGTTTTGAACTAAATCAAATGAGAGCAAATGGAAACACCACATCTAATAAGAACAGTGCAGCAATGGATGCAGAGATTGTGTTAAGACCGCTCATGGATTTTTTGGACAAAACGTAAGTTTTTTTTGGCCCAGGTTTCTCTTTACTTATTGCCCTAAATTTGACTTGTAAGGCTTTAAGAAAAACATTGTTTTCCTCCGTATAAGCTAGCATTCAAAGTCTTTCTATAGAGATAAATGAATTCAAAAATAAGTAAATAAATTCACTAACAAGCAACACAGTTTTAATTGATTGCTAGTTAAAAATAGGAATGACTTTGTACAAAAAAGGAAAAAATGAGGGGAAATAAGTTTTGCAACTAAGGAGGTTGCTGTTCTGAGGCAGAGAGAGACTTAGAATTTCATGCTCCTTGGATAACATATTGTTTGCAATCCTCCTGGACATAGAGAAAGACTCAGCTGAGTCCAGAGTATCTGATTTCATGTCAGAAACTTGACAAAAAAAAGAATAGCACAAATGTGACTAGAATTAATTTAGCTCCAAGGCAAGCAGATAGCAGCCTGACTCAATCAGCCTTCAATACTGATTTATTGAGTGCTCACCTGTATCAAATCATATTCTTCACACTGGACAGTGATGAAAAAGAAAGCCAAAGCCCCTGACACCATGGAAAATACAATTTAGTAGTGGTGGGAGTGCATGGGGATGCAGGCCATTATGACTGACTAAGACACATTCTTAACCAGAAAGTTTGGTTGGTCTGTTTGTTTTTAAGGTTTCTGTTCTGTTCCTACTCTTAAAAGTTCTAATTTAGTAAGGGTGAGGCAGGGTCAAAACACCTATATGTTATAATGTGTCCACAATTGGGAATCATTGATCTAAAGCAACCAGAAACATGATTTCTTAAATAGTGACACTCAAAGCCAGAACTGAATGTAGAAGAGAAAAGTGAATAATAATTTTGAATGCCTACCAAGGGACCAGTGTCATTTATATTAGTTTACGTATTTATCTCATTTATTATTGCTGTGGCAAATAAATATCCAAGGGACCAAGATTTAAATAAAAAAGAAATTATAGTGTCTTTATTTAAAGAGAAGGACAACAGTCACCCCACTGTGCTGCTGCTGCCACCAGCACACATAGACACCACTGCATTTCTGCTACCAGCATGCATGTGCAAGTGCAGACCCTACTGTCACTGCCCCAACAAACTGCTTTAATCAGCACTCTCCATCAGAGTGTTGTTGCCAGAAGACCAGAAACACCCTTGCACCACCAGTGCAGCTGGTGCTTGTCCTTGAGGGGACAGAAAACAAAGTAATGAGCCTGGTACCAGACCCCAGGGTTACAGCATGCAATCCAGGAGTGCCAAGCTAAGCTTTGGCCCCCTGAAATCTTCCAGAAATGTAGCCAGTTGACTGAACTCAATGTATACCACAGTCAAATCCTCAAAGCCTCAAGGACACTAAAGAATATAAAAGCAAAACAATCACTATTCAAACAATAGCAACTTCAAAGGTTAAAGGAACATTAGCCCACAGAGACAAGAAAGAACCAGCAAGAGAAATCTAGCAACTCAAAAAGCCAGAGTGTCTTATTACCTCCAAACAACCACACTAGCTCCCCAGTAATGGTTCTTAACCAGGCTGATGTGGCTGAAATGACAGAGAAATTAGCATCCGGATAGAAAAAAAAAAAAATGAAGATTTAGGAGTAAGTCAAAAGCCAATCCAAGGAATCCAAGGAATCTAATGATATAAGAGCTAAAAGATGAAATAGCCATTTTAAGAAAGAACCACGGTGATCTGATAAAGCTGCAAAATTCACTATAAGAATTTCCTAATATAATCAGAAATCTTAGTGTCTTTCCTGGGAGATACTATACATGATGACTGTACCATCATCAGATTCTCCAAAGTCAATGTGAAAGAAAAATGTTAAAGACAGCTAGAGAGAGGGGGCAGGTCACCTACAAAGGGGATCCCATTAGGCTAATAGTAGACCTTTCAGCAGAAACGCTACAAGCAGGAAGACATTGGGTGGCTATATTCAGCATTCTTAAAGAAATTCCAGAGAAGTATTTCACACCACGCCAAAGTAAGTTTTATAAGCACAGGAGAAATTAGATCCTTTTCAGATGAGCAAATTCTAAGGAAATTTGTTACCCCAGACCTGCCTCTCAAGATGTCCCTGAAGGAGTGCTAAACATGAAAATGAAAGATCAATACCTGCCAACAGAAAAATACACTTAAGTACATCAGATATAGACACTATAAAGTAACAATGCAATCAACAGTGCATAACAGCCAGCTAAAGACACAATGACAGGATAAAATCACACATATCAATAACAACCTTGAATGTAAATTGACTAAATGCTCCACTTAAAAGGCAGGAAGCTGTCTTTAAGAGGAGACTCATCTCACATGCAATGACACCCATAGGCTCAAAGTAAAGGGATGGAGAAAAATCTACCAAAAAACATAGAAAACAAAAAAGAGTAAAGGTTGCTGTTGTAATTTCAGATAAAATAGGCTCTAAACAAACAATAATCCAAAAAAACTTAGTAGTATTATATAATGATAAAGGGTTCAATTAAACAAGACTTAGCTATCCTACACATATATCCACCTAACACTGGAGCATCCATTTATAAAGCAATTTCTTAGAGACCTATGAAAAGACATAAATAAATACACAATAATAGTGAGAGATGTCAACATCCCACTGAGAGTATTAGATAGATCATCGAGGCAGAAAATTAACGAAGATATTCAGGACCTAAACTCTACACTTGACCAAAAGGACCTAACAGACATCTACAGAACACTCCACCCAACAAAAACAGAATATACAGTCTTCTCATCTGCACACATGACAGATACTCTAAAATCAATTACACAATCAGCTACAAAAAAATTGTCAACAAATTCAAAAAATCTGAAATCATACCAACCACACTTTCAAAAAACAGCACAATAAAATTTTAATATGAAGATAATCTCTCAAAACTATACAATTACGTGGAAATTAAGCAATCTACTCCTGAACGACTTTGACTATGAATTTAAGACAGAAATCAAGAAATCTTTTAAAAATTTTATTTCTTTATTTATTTTATTGTTATGCTTTAAGTTGTGGGGTACAAATGCAGATTGTGCAGGATTGTTACATAGGTATACACATGCCATGGTGGTTTGCTGCCTCCATCCTCCTGTCACCTATATTAAGTATTTCTCCTAATGTCATCCCTCCCCAACCTCCCCACTGCCTGCTATCGCTCTCCTACCCCCCACCCACACCATACTCCGCTGTTGATGTTCCTCTCCCTGTGTCCATGTGTTCTCATTGTCCAACACCCACTTATAAGTGAGAACATGTGATGCTTGCTTTTCTGTTCTTGTGTCAGTTTGCTGAGAATGATGATTTCCGTCTTCATCCATGTCCCTCCAAAAGACATGAACTCATCCTTTTTATGGCTGCATAGTATTCCATGGTGTATGTGTGCCACATTTTCTTTATCCAGTCTATCATTGATGGGCATTTGGGTTGATTCCAAGTCTTTACTATTGTAAGCAGTGCCACAATGAACATACATGTGCATGTGTCTTTATAAAAGAACAATTTGTAATCCTTTGGGTATATACGTAGTAATGGGATTGCTGGGGCAAATGGTATCTCTATTTCTACATCCTTGAGGAATCACTGTCTTCCACAATGTTTGCACTAATTTACACTCCCACCAACAGTGTAAAAGCATTCCTATTTCTCTACATCCTCTCCAACATCTGTTGTCTACAGAATTGTTTTTATTACAAAAGTGTAACATACCAGAGTCTCAGGGACATAGCTAAAGCAGTGTTAAGAAAAAAGTGTATAGTGCTAAACATCTACATCAAAATGTAGAAGTATGTCAATTTAACAACCTAGAGAAGCTAGGAAAATGAGAATAAAACAACCCAAAAGCCAGCAGAAGACAAATCACCAGAATCAGAATTGAACTAAATCAAATTGAGAGTGAGAAACCATACAAAACAAAAGATCAATGAAAGAGTTTGTTTTTTGAAAGCATAAATAAGATTGGTAGACCACTAGATAAATTAATAAGGAAAAAAGTGAGAAGATTCCAATAAACACAATCAGAAATGACAGACTGAGCATTACCACCAACCCCACAGAAATGCGGATGACCCTCAGGGACTATTACACACCTCTATGCACACAAACTAGAAAACCTAGAAGAAATTAATAAATTCCCAGAAACATGCAAACTACCAAGATGGATTCACAGCCAAATTTCGTGGTATGTGTAAAGAAGGGCTAGTACTAATCCTATTAAAACTACTCCAAAAATGGAGGAGGAAGGACTCTCCATAACTCATTCAATGAGGCCAGCATCATACTAATATTAAAACCTGGCAAAGACACAACAAAAAAAAAGAAAACTTCAGGTCAATATCTTAACAAACATAGGTGCAAAAATCCTTAGCAAACTACTAGCAGACCAAATCCAGCAGCATATCCAATAGCTGTCTCAGGATTATCATCTAGGCTTTATTCCTGGAATGCAAGGTGGTTCAGCAGATCCAAATCAATACATGTGATTCACCATATAAACAGAACTAAATACAAAAACCACATGATCATCTCAAGAGATGCAGAAAAGGATTTCATTAAAATTCAACATCTCTTCATGTTAAAAACCCTCAAAAAACAAGGCATTAAGGAAACATACTTCAAAATAATAAGAACAATCTATGACAAACCCACAACCAGCATCATACCAAATGAGCAAAAGCTGGAAGCAGTATGCTTGAGAACCAGAACAAGACAAGGATGCTCACTCTTACTACTCCTCTTCAACATATTACTGGAAGACCTTGCCAAAGCAATCAGGCAAGAGAAATAAATAAAAGGCATCCAAATAGGAAGAGAAAAATCAATCTCTGTTTACATATGATGTGATTGTATACATAGAAAACCCTATAATCTCTGCCCAAAAGCTCCTAGATCTGATAAACAATTTTAGAAAAGTTCTAGGATACAAAATTAATGTACAAAGATCAGTAGTATTTCTATACACCTACAGCATCCATGCTGAGAGCCAAATC